TGACACAATTGCATGGATCAACTGGTCTGTTGTATCCACTTGATTGGCCGGCTCTCGACTGTCGGTCCATTGCACACCCAGTTGCATGAGTGTCTGCATGTCGTATTACCATCTTACAGTACGGTGAGATTGACTCCATTCATCCGTGTTATTAGAGGCCTGGAGGGCAGCCAATGAAGAGGCTGTACAGTATGGCCCGGCAGAGCTCGCATGACAATTCAATTAGTCGTCTCCATCTTTGCACCACCTCCACATGACCTGCACCAGTAGTTTTTGCTGACGATCAACCTAAGGAAAGTGATGGCATCCTTGGGTTGTGCTGCGAACGCAACCAACATACTGATTGGCCGAGAGGACTTTAGGTTAATCGGATGGGTGGATAGAGCTTCTTTTTCTTTTTCAGCTTAGAGATTGGTTTCAGAGTAAAAGCTGCAGGAAAATTGGCAACGGTTCAATTTCAGACAACACAAAAGCACATTCAAATTACAGATTTCTCCTCTATTCTCTCAGAATGCGACTAGTGCTCCATTAATGACTACAATCATTTATCTTGCAGCTGCAGGACTTCAATTCTGACCTGTAATTTTCTTTCTGGATTTGTTTGTTGTGAAATCATTTAGCTAATTTCTGATGAATATTTCAAACTGCTGAGTATGTAGAAGTAATTAATTGCGCATTTATTCCATCTGTTTCCACATATAATTCCTCACTAGTTCTAATCCCTGAGGGATTAGAACTAGTGATCTAGTGAGTTCTTGATAACAATACTTACCGCAGTTCATTATGCACTCTTTTTTAGTAATATGGTCATGTATGCTTAGCATGTTTCACATACAACAGAAGGAAATCTCTACTCTCTCTCTTTCATCATTGCAGCCCAGTAACCATAACCATAGCAACCGCAAGAAAGAGCTCACAGTCCACATCGTACGGGGTCTGTATTTGTGACAGAATTACACAATTGCTTGAAATGTTGAAATGTGTACAGTTTTTGCTAATTTGAGGAAAGTTATGATTTGGGGAGTCTACTAGTCTTGACAAAATAATATTCTTTGGTACGACTAATAAAAACAACAAACAAACCGAATAACCTGGTCAAATTAGTTAACAATACTAGCTGCTTGCAAAGTTAAGAAAATAATAAACCATTTCAATCTCAACATCCAGATAACCTCTGTTTTTTTAAGTATGAGGTTGCTTTGACACAAAAAGCTCCAAACAAGTCCAACTACCAACCTGCCCTGGACATGTGTTCATTACCTGGTTGGCTGCATGATGTTAATCATGGTTCAGACATTCACACATGGTTAGAATGACATGTTGGCTTTTGCTCTTTTCTGCTGGCAGTGCATTTGGCAAACATCCACAGCCAACCCTGAATAGCCTTTAAATAGGATCTGTTTACGTGGAAATACTTATTACTTACTGATAAAACCACAAACAGAAAAGCACATAACTAGGGTTCAGGCAATTTGAACGACAATCCCGATAATCCTCAACACCGAACCTCTGACTGCGTTACTTGATCATTATTGACTCTAGCTGTGCTATACTTCCCAAAACGGTGTGCGGTCTGCAGAACACAGCCTAGACTCCACAAGTATCTATCAATCAGGATGCAACTTGAAACTGTCCTTGGATTGTCTTAACCACATCTTAACCTCCGTCACTCAGAAAATCAAATTCTGATTTAAAATTCAGAACAGTCTCATTTTGTTTTTTCATTCTTTCCTGACAGATAAACACAACACCTTTCATTTACACATCCAGTGGGAAAAGACATTAGGATTGATATAAAATCACGAGTTTCTCCACCCAAATTTGAAATGAATATTCTTTCACTTTTTAATCATTTTTGGGGCTCCAGCTATTTTGAGTTAGTCAGAACATAGTTGCGGCTCATTACCAGAAACCGGTATTGATAGATAGATCATTGACAGAACCAGCTGGTTCTATCAATGACGATGAATTGTCTCCTGTCCTCTAAAGTTCTTTTTAGGGTAGACACCTACCCCTGAATGTAATTTATGCTTGTGTATGCAAACAGAACTTCATATAGTAATACAGTCATGATAAAAGCAAGAACGTCCTCCAGTTCGGTTGACATTGTCGCTGCAGATAACTTTCTCGCAGTAAATGTAAGCCCGCAAAACAGACAAACCTGTCTCTCTGGTCATTTTCCAAATGAAAGCCTCTTCCGACTAAATTTTTTTACACCCAGAGGGATTTCCCTTCTCAGATGAGTTGGTTTGGCCAATTAAAAAATGCTACAATTCAAATGAATTGGCCAAAGACCTTGTTGAGGGACTGGATCCTCTTCAGATTTTCAAACAAGCCTAAAGCTTTGCCAATAGAGAGACAGATCTGACAAGCCACAGAAAGTGGAGTAATCAACATTTTATTTCAATCCTTTATGTAAACTGGTAGTGCCACCGACATCAAGGGTCTCTTGTTAAATAGGGTCCTGTGTACATACAGATGTTCTACGCGTACGTTCAGATTAAAGCAGCGTGTGTAGGATTAGGTGGAATTCAGTGGTGAAACTGTAGATTGAACAACCTCTCTGTTTCTAGTTTCTTTAAAGTGGGCATTTTTTGAAGTAAACTACATACAATACTCCTGCCCTCTGTTTTTCAAGGAAACCATCTACCTCTCTTATAGAAGATGCAATGCTGAGTGAGAAATGTATCACCTGTAATGAAGCGAAGCGCACCGTGATGTACGGGGTTAAGATGTTCAAGGTGGAGGGAGAAGCAAGCATATACACATATTATCATTATCAAGCCTAGACCAAATTGTGGATTGGACAAAAGCAGACCTTTCCGATGGCTGGATTTAAGAGAACTAATAAAATAGTGTTATCTGCACAAACATGTACCTTGACTTGCAGCCTTTAGAAACTACTGCCTGATACTACCCGAGACTCAAAAAATAAGTTAGAAAACCTTTTACTGGACTGCACAAAATGTATAAATTGTCCAAAGCTCCAAAATATTATCAAAACCAAACTAACAGAAAAAGTTTAAAATGCAACGTAAAACATATAAGTCCCCATCATATGGTCCCTGCACAGGAACAGGTTATTGTGTGTGTAGTTTTTTCCTTTGAAGATGGTCTATTATTTGTTGCATCGCTTGAATCTTAAAAATACCAGGACATGCACACACACACACACACACACCTACACACACACACACACACGTGGCCACACACCACCTCAGTGCTGCCTGTACACTTCGATCTCAGATCTCTGAGCAACGCGGGGCCTAATTGTATCTTGGAGCTACTGTGATGCTGATCTCTGGAGATCTCATTATAAGATCCACAAGCTGTTCAGGCACGTACCCGCTCTCTTCACTCTCTCATCCCGTGGTGCACATCATCATTTTATGGAATCTCCATCAGCCGTTCCCAGTATTGATAGAATAAAACAATTATTGTTGATGAGGAAATTGCACCATGATCCGAAAGCGCGACAAAAAGGTAAACTGTGAGATGTTTGATCTTGCTGTTAGCTGTCTAGCGTCTCGTTAGCAGCTCTTTTCTGAGCGCTGAGAGCTTTTCTGGCACAGATTTCTCTCTTTCAATACTCAGGTTTTCCTCATGGTTAACAGGAATCATAAATCATTCACGGTGTACAATGTAACACGAATAACGTTGTGAAGTGGTTAGGTCTATGCATGAAAACTACTTAGTTGGGATTTGAAAAATTACAATTACAAGTCTTAATCAGATGCTAAAGGGTGCCTTGTAAATCAGACACTGATTTTGTATTTGTGTGTATAATTGAGTGTCACTGCATGCAATAATTATGACTACAGTCTATGGATTGTAGTTCTTTTTATCCTACTATATACTGATAATAACAGGAATGGACACAGCAAAATGTAGCGAGCAGGACTGGGCATTGAGGGTTACTGAGAGACAATTCAAACTAATAATTAAACTTGTGTCATTAAAACCTCTGCACTCATTGAGTCGATCATCTGTCCAGGTCACCGTGCACTCTGGGAAGTAATTGCGCTCAGATTGCTATCCTGGCTCTCTCATGGTCATGCATATATGTGCAAACAGCCCTGGCGGTCCAGGAAATTAGCTGCGGATTCGTTTTACATTAAGTGCTGCATTTTGCGAGGTCTAAAAAAGAATGTCGTCGGGATGAGGAATGAGGTAGAAAAAAAGGGCCCATTCACATGAGACGGATGTCCCCCCTCCGCATCTCCAGCACTACTTACTTCCAGTAGATCCTTCTCAAATACACCCTCCTCACCCTCCACTATCACTCACCATCACTCTACCATCCAATCTGAGGGAAAATAAGCATTGGTAACATACTTGATCCCTAACGCTTACTTCAAATTACCTGCCATCTGCACCAGACTTTTTTTGGAGCTGGTTGTGGATTGGCTCTGCAGTCAAGCCACTGAATCCACCCATTCTAACAATCATTTTTTGGCTCAGGTTATCTTCTCATATGGGGTCCGTGAGAAATTGCACTGGCAGTGTGTTTGTAAACCTTGTCTGACACCAGAATGAGATATTACCCTGGAGGATGAAGTGGTATTCGCTTAGAGGACATACAGATGATGTATCACTTATGAATTGATCAGAGGCAAAGAAGCATGACATTATGGCAAGTAAAGGCAATCTCTCAGGGTAAACCAGCTGGAAATCAAATTAGAATAGGCCTTTGGAACATGCAGGTTTAAAAGCATGGCTAACCCTGAAGAAAAAGGACTTTTCACTTCCCATTGCTCAGTGTATCTGAGCTTATGGAAGAAAATATTTGGACACACGAGGCAGCCTCCTGTGAATGCAGCACATGTGGTGAGTGCTTTCTGCAGGTATATATATATATATATATATATATATATATATATATATATATATATATATATATATATATATATAGAAAAAAAGGAAAATGGACAAAGAAGGTTTACACTTAGTTCGTTGAATTGTTGACAGAAGTGATGTAAAAGACAAAGAAGGAGAAGTGGCTCGTCATAAAAATTATTTTATTATCCTAATTTTTATCAGAGGACGAATATCAATTATTCACTTTTTACAATATATTACTATCATTAGACTGCTTTATACATTGTTTTATATATTAAGAATTTTCAAATTATTTTGTACATTCTTCCGCCACTGGCATTACCCGGTCATATTTAACAGAAAATGAGGGAAAAAGGCACATGATTGCGCCTGTCCTCTGTGAACAATGCAGTCCAAAGAAACAAAGACCTGTAGTGGTTTGTGTGAGAGCAGGTGAAATACCCCCCCACCAGGTGATGGGCAGCCCCTTTGAAGCCTGTTACATGTCTTGCCAACGCAGCACAATGTGTCCAAAGCAATTTTCTAAATCAAAGCCCAAAACATTCACTTCGATGTGGCAATTGAAAACCACAACTTTTCACAAGCTCAGATGTTTTTTTTTCACATAGTTTTATCATATAAAAAAAAAGATTTACTAGGATGTCGAACCACCTTGAGGGAATGCACTGTGCACTGCACTGTTTTGTTACTTATTTCTGTACATGGATCTGAATGTCAGAAATGTGAGCCATTTCAAACAATCCAACTCGCCATAAGGTCTCTGACGACACGCAGCTCAGTGCAACACATTAATTGATCCGATTGTTCTTCTAGATTTAACGTTGGAAAGCTCTGTGGCCGGAGGGCAGCTCAGTGCGCTGCCAAGTCTCTATAGCATGAAACACCACACACCAGCTCCATTAGTCTCATCTCGGAACTGTCCACATTTTCAGACCCAACTGCGACTTGAAACACTGTCCGAACTGTGTCAGAGGTTGTTCTCTCGCTTCAATGCCTGGGGTGCTTAATCCAGTTTCGTATCATCCACTTCTGACCAGAGCATCTCTGGACCACCAGGCGGAGGCCAAAGTTGGCATCCTTGGACATTTCAACCTCCAAACACCGTCCGGTGTCCCTGCTTATGATTGGGCCATTCTGCAACAGAAAACACAGGAGTATGACCAAACACGCGCAATAACCGCATCATTAGAACTCACGTTAAATGCCTATTGTTACAGTACCAAACATAAGGTTATAAGTTCACATTCTATTCACCTGTGTAAAGTCCCAAAGCCTCTGGGACACCCTTGAAACAGTGTCACATTTTTTCAGTCTGGGAGTGCGTCCTCTGCCATCATCAACGAGGCATTTTGTGTCAGGCAGGAAGGTGGTCGACCCCAGGGGTCCTAGCTGGAGTAGCCCCTCAGTTGCGTAGCGGGCAAGCTGCAACGTAGAGAAAACCAATGTGTCACACTGCTGGACTCACTCACAGCGGCATCAATCAAAGCCAAACACAAAACACATGACTTTTTAGAGGCTTTATAGGGAGCACATTAACACCCATGGAGAGCACAGGCCGAAAACGGCTTTCAATGAGATGGGGGGTCCGTGTTTTGTAGTTCTGCACTTTATATCTTTTATTATTAATTTATGTTATTACTAAATAGGCCTGTCAAAATGAACTCGTCGATCTGAAATGCGATGGATGTGGCCGAGATTAATGCGATAAAAGATTTTAACGCAGTTAACGCAGCATTGTTTACTTCCGATGTGCCGGAAGGACCCCTGTGACCCCGGAAACAAAAACCGGCGCTAGCTGCAGTCAGTTAGATGGAGAGAGCGAGTCGGTAGCTGAAGATAGAGAGAGATTTTTGTATCTGAAGCAAAACAAACAGAGGCGCAAACACCTGGTGGAATTCTGCCTTGGAGATGGTCAAATGGTTTCTGTTTGAAATACGATACAACAGTTTCTAAAATACGCACTTTCTAAAGTGATTACTCATTACGTGTAATATTTAGTCTCGAGAAGAAAAACAATGAATGATTTTCAAAATGTGCGATTAATTTTTTTTTAATCTATTGACAGCCCTATTATTAATACAACGTTTATTTTGAGTAGGGACTCTGTATGTACCGAGCGGAAACAGAAACAGTGTTCCTGACCTAAAGCTTCATAGTGTTAAGTGTAGGGGAACTGACAAAGGGTCAGTGTTTGACAAGTTGGGAGAGAAGTGCCTTACTTCTTTGTGCGAAGTGCAAATAAAAACAAATATTGCACATTTTATTTTTTGACTGGGAAAAATCCATACATAAAACACAGGACACATTGCATGTGGTGTTGTAGAATATCTCAGTGTACAGAAGTGCAATGAATCAACAGTGATCAGCTGCCCCAATATTTCCTCAGACACAGACCCTGGCTGTTTTATTCCGCACATAAAAGGCTCTGTGGTGATACGTATCGGTTACGTAAGGATACAGTAGAGATAGCATCTATTATTTATGGCAGGAAAAAAATGATGCCGAAGATAGTGAGGTCCTGGGCACAACAGCAGCTCTGCCTCAAGGGGAACAGCCATACATGACTGAATCACACACACACACACACACACACACACACACACACACACACACACACACACACACACACACGCACTGTCTTCTACAAAGGCTCGGGGTATCAATGTTATTCTCACCGTAACTCTATGGAAGAGTGTGACACAATGCCACTGAAAACAAACTGAAGAAGCTAAAGTGTTTCTAAATGCTGACATGTGCCTTTCTGTCCAATGGCAAAATTAAAAAAAAATCTTTAAAAGAAAATTTGATTGATGGATAATTTAATCAATCGTAAGCATGTTTTTGACCCTTTGTATCAGGTCCTTAGGACTATCCTCCCCAAAAACCTTTAAAAGAAATTCAGTTTAAAATGTAATCCACTGCAAAAGCTACTATTGTCTTCAAATCCTGTTGAAGTAAATTTTCAGCATGTTAAAATTTGATACAGCTTTGTCTGAATGGAGGATTTAGAAGCATCGATGGAGGAACTGGAGCTGGAGTGAGGGGCCTGCGTGGGTGTCGCTCCTTGGAAAAAGAGAGAATGCAGGTGGTTTTAATCCACCTGCATAATGTTCTGGCCTAAAGAGTCACTTCAAACAAATAGGAATATAATGAAGAGGCAATTTCCAGGTCACTCACAGTTCACTGGAGCTGGACTGCTTAGGCTTTGGACTAAGGAATGTCAGACATTACATAAACATATTTCAAACTCAATCTACTGCGAGACACTTTACTGTGAATTTGTGCCGTTCTTCTCCAGGTGAAAGCACGAAGGTCATTTGGATGACAACCTCTTTGTGGAATTTTGTATTGCTGGGTCTTGGGTCTTTCTGGGTTACAGGTTAACGTTCTAAGCAGATTTATCTATGGTGTAAACTATGACTATGGGCAGAAGGCAAGCCTCATAGAATCCCTACTAATACCTTTTATAGCTCAGTCTGGCAGCAGTTTATATGCTAATACATCTTAAATGGGACCATAACAAATAATTAATGTAAGGAAATGATTCCGCTAAGCCAATTAACCTGTGACTCATGCAGCAAAATTAGATGCTCCATTACCTTTGTGCCATTGCAGAAGTTCTGCAGCCACTTTCTGAAGGTCAATCTAATCTCAAGTTTCTTAATTAGCTCATTAACGGTCTCACGCTGTGACAATGTCAATACAGGACGGGGTGTTTGTTGATTGCCTTTGGATGTAATCCCAAAAAGTCTACCTTTCCCGTACCTTGCTCCACCAGAAAGTTAGAAGTATGTCTATGCCACAGATTATAACACACATTTTAAGAAGGGCTTGGCTCGCATTTTCTCTTCATAAGATATTAAATTCAGGCGTGGGAGTTCCATTTCTAAACGAAGCTTTAAGTTGTCCCACAGTTTAAACGGTACAGAGGATGATTAGCACCATGCACATCCAAGTACATAGCTTGGATTTTGCTACAAAATACACACCTTCAGACACATTAGACGGATCAGCACTCTGGGTATGTATACGGCAAGATTCGGGGAGATCGTTATTCCAGTTCCAGCCTCGTTAAAAGTTTTATAATATGTCTTTATTCAGCCTGTTTTGATGTTTAAATGATTTATGCCGCAAACTCTGCTTATCACATCAAATGTGGCATAATGTGATCATGCTCACGTTGTACAGCTGGCAGAGTTGTTTGAGAGCTATGAACAAGGAGCGACTCTGACGCAGTGGGCCCCGGGGCACAGACATTCAAAACACCCCATCATCTGTTTTTTTCCATTGTTTTGCATTTCTTTGTAGTCATTACACATCTCTGTGGGGTTTTCTTTGTCTCTTTTTGAAAATGTTGTGTCTCTTTGCAATGCTTTGTGAGTCTTTGTAGTCGGTTATTTGCATGACACTTGGGGTCCATGAGCCTTCTCGCTCTGCAGGCCAGTTAAGTAATTCGTCCATGAGACCAATGATGTGACCTGCTGAGAGTGTGTTCACTATTCTATTATCTGTCTCTCCTTGTTATTGCACTGCTACACATACAGTACTATAATTCCCAGCATTAGAAATGGAATAACACACAAAGGCAGGAGCACCACCCAAATATTGGTAAAGGATACATTACAATATTAAAAGTGACGCATTGCATTATTTGACAAAGGTGAGGCATTATCCATGATTTAGACCTCCACTGACTGAAGAATTATTCTGGCCAATTATATTTAGGCCTAAGCAAACGGAGGGTAAAAAGCAACGCAAACTCCCTCTATATCAGCAAATCGGATTCTGTCCCGCTTATAGTAATGTTGATCATTACTATAATCTAATGATACAAAGAGCTTTCTGTAGAGGAAAGGAGGAGAGGCTGGTGGGCCTCCTTATAATACCCTTTCCCCTGCCGGATAATGAACATGTCACTCACCAGCAAGAGAAGCAGTTTTGAAAGGTGGAAAATATAAGGAATATACATGAATAGAATTTGCATGATTTGTCGTCAGGAATAGTAATTTTGTCTTTGCGCAACATCAGAGACAACAATGTTACGCCCACAGTGTCATTTGTCCTGGTATCTGTTCGGGTGAAGGTCATACTGAGCACACATTCTTTTCTCCAGCAGCATCGACCTGCATATTCATATATCTACCTGCAGCCCCACTCGGGAGTGCTGCAGTGTTTTCTGATAGAGCTCCGATTTAGCTGTTGGTGAGGCCTTGCATCGTACTCTGAATGCTATCGAAGTCAAAACTGTCATTATCCAGTGGCCTTAAACCAGTGAAATAATCCAAAAGTAATTTCTAGCAGTAACTTGAAGCAGTTTTGTGTGTGCAAGAATTGATTTGATGTAATACGGTGACCATGACAACACTTTCAATTAAATTTAAAAAAGCTTTTCTAGTCATGCCAATATATTCAAATTCATTTTTACGGACATAGTCTTTGGTCAAACTACATTGTACGTATACCCACCACATGCCAGAGGGATTATTGATCTCATCTGGCCTTTAAATGCTTGGGATCCTCCAGAGCTGGACAAACGTGACTGGGGAGAGGGACATCTGGAATACCCGCCTAAGCTTGCAATCACAACGCAGCCCCGGATAAGCGGAAGTAAATGGGTGCTTAAGGCAGTCAGATTTCTTTTATTTTTACTAGGACCCCAAAGCCGTCCATAAGTGCACTTCATCTTTCACACCATGTTCAGGATTCTGAATATAATTCATTAAGATCCAGAGGTGTTTAAAACATGCATTATATATATATATATATATCTTTTAAGAGTGGCCGGTTGGAATCCCTTTATTATACTGTATAGTCGCCTACCCACTGGCGGAGGAGTGTACTGAGGGTGATATACAGTCCTAGACTGGAGGTGCAGTTGAGAGACAAGCTGACCGTTTCACAAGTGGAAAGCTAATTTCAAACAAATAAAACCCCTAAAAGTCGTCAGCTAGTAACCGGCTGTTCCGAGATTGCATGTATTGGCAATTCTCTCTACACTGACTGTTTAACTTATATAAGCATAGCATGCTCACATGTTATCGGGTAGCATAAAATGTGTTTTCCATACATGAGCATCCTGCTACTTATCTTTGATAGTTTAGAACTATTTAACCAGAATACTTTTTAAAGTATGCGCCTTAATCAAATCCTCGGACAGGCTCTTTTCCAATTTTGTAGCTTGCATATTTCGATTTATAATTGACTGTATTTCCAATTTGGAAATCATTTTATAATCTGCCTAACTGTGGGTCTTTGGAGTATCCTGGCTGTTCCTTTAAAGGCGTCAGTGTGGATGTGTGGAAGATGAGAATAAATTGATTCATAAATTTAAGAATGAGTGTTTACAGTTTTTCAAACGTAACATAAAAAGAAAGCAGACAATGAAGAATTAATGAAGACAAAAGTGAACGTGGATACACAAACAATTTCTGACGCTGGTCTGACCTGCGAGGACATGCCATGGCAGGGGTACAGGATGGCTTTGTCATCGTCCTCAGAGCCCTGGTCCAGGCAGTAGCCGCTAGCTTTGCTGTTCCTCACCTGAAAGACAACACAGAAGGTCCAGGTAGCATACGATTTCTTTAGAGTCTGTGGATGAAGTCGAAAAGATACAACAGAGAAGCCTCTTATGTATGGTGGGTAAGAGGTGCATTGCCGTAAAGATTAGACTTCGGGAACAGTTTAAAGTGTTTAAAATGTGCTTGTTCAAATGTCAAATATGCCCTTTCATTAATGTGTCAGAATCATCATGTTAATAGATGGATTTGCGTTAAACTTATAATGACAAGATGAAAGATGAATGCTGACAAGATGAAAAGTTTGCACGACTTCACAAATTCAGCTTCTTGTGTGGAACTTTCCATTGATGGGCTTGACTCATGGTCTTCTTCGAGAGGCTTATGTCACTCCTTAAACATGTTAAATGATGTAAAAGCGAGGTAGATCAAGTATTCTTGCCGAAGCAGAGGAGTCACAGGTAAGGAAGGGTGCTGTGTTGTAGAGCCAGACGTGAATGAAACGTTCAAACCACTCCAGATGCATGAACGATTAATAATCATAATCCAAAAGTCAGATGGTTCTTGACATTGAGCCACAGTGTTAAATAATGTGTTTGTCAAGATCTGCCAGGTTACATTTGCCACAAAATGTATTCCGAAAGCAAATCAATGTATTTGTATATTACCAGTGAATCTCTTTCCCCTTTGAGCAAGTTACACCACCTCCCGTCTATAAGATTCACTTCAGCTTGTTCACACAATCCTATATCACCTCAACGTGACGACCCGGCCTTGGCAGGATATTAACATGCTGTGACCAGTCCCTGCCCGTCTCTCCCTCTCCTCCAGGCTTCCAGATGGCGGTGTGCATTTGAGCATGAGCTTCGGTTCTGTGTGATATGAATGCGTACGGCTTCATTTCCAGGTTGTGACACATTTGCCATGTGCTGTTGTCAGGGACGGTTCCACTCGATCGGTCTGGTCAGCGTGCTCGGGCTCTTGTGATGATGCTCAGTGACAGATGAGACTTACTTCTGCTGCGGCGGCCGTGTGGCAACACAAAGCCTGCCGACCGATGTGAAATACTGCCACTTAAGTGGCGGCCGCGCTGAGGAATCCATTAGCTGCGTGCATCAGTCAAAACAGGCGGCAGGAGAAACAATTTTGATGAATCTAGAGGTGTATTTTGATGCATTCTGACATTGCATTCGGAGAGCGCATTGATTTGCCAATGTTTTCCATTGTTGAAATGGATATTAAAAAAAAACGGTGTCTGTCTCTGGAGTGTGTTCAATTCTTCAACTTGTCATAATCCTGTTTCCTTCCCCCACTGTGATAAGTCAAGCCCAAAACAATCAAGTTGGAATGAAAAACTATTAAGTATTTAATTAAAACTGAGGAAATTGCCTTTGATCCTGTGTGGCGATGCTGCATTGCTTATAGCAACTAGATACCTTTACCTTCTACAATAGGGAATTATTAACCATTTTTGTTTTTCATACCAGTTTGTGCTCAAGCACCGCTTACTTGCATTGTTGTTTTTTATACACTACAACAGATATCAGCGGGTCATCAACAGGTAATATCTATTGTTTTGAAAAAAAAGACACAACAGAATAGATCTTAACAGCTCATAAATCCAGCTCATTTTTCTGTTTTTATCATCCATGTCGTATGCGTCCTCTTTAAACCACAGCTCTGAAATAAATAGACGACGAGAATGGAGCCAAAAAAATATGGTGAGTATTTTAAGTAATCCTGTTAGCGAGTATCTCACCTCGCCGTATGTGATGGTGTTGTTGTAGATCCGCATCTCCGGGTACACGTGTTCAAGGTACCAGCGAAAGCTCCGACATTGCAGTCTCTTCCTTAAGGCCAAACGCTCCGAGACATCCCCGAAATCAACTCCGGGGTTCTGCCGACAAAGGGTGCAAAACAAAGAGGAAGAAATGCTCTTAGCCGGCAGGCACTTCACTTCAGAACCAATTGAGAATACGAGCTGCTGGAGAAATTGAAACCGCAGGAGCGCTGAGGTGCTGAGAAGACGCAACAAGCATTTAGTTAAGAGACGAATAGATGTGTGGGACCTTTATTGTTCTTTCATGAGGCTGAAATTCTAATCAGCTGCTTGATTTTGAGCCCAGCGGGCCCTGCACGCCGTACAGAGGTGGCTTCCCTGATTGATTATGGGAAAGCCAGGCTTCACTTCCGGGCATGGAGGTCTGATCCTGACACATGCACACCCATGCGCACACGCCCACACAAAGCACCTATGGGGATACACAGAGCGCGGCTTAAAGGTGCGTGATGTGCAAATGAACATGCATTTTCCATATTTATAGAAGATATACACATTCATATAAAAGAACAAAGACATTTCCACAGAGATTCATGCAAATCCACACATTCACGCACACCGACGCACACAGTTGTCTAATTACAACACACTGTTTCCAGGCAAATCCTTCCCGTCAGTTTCTCCGCTCTGTAGGAATCTACAGCCAGCTGCTGAACTTGATTTCAACATCTGTTAATAATGCATTTTAGTTGAAATGTATTTTTTGTCTCATAAAGTGACACTAACAAATGTTCTAGTGGAAGGTTATTGTCTTCAGTGTTTTTAGCAGGTCTTGCCACTGAAGAGAATAATGAAAACCTTCCCCAGCCAAAGTAATTCGGCTCCCAGCAGGTACCTCAGACAATAACACAAATCTGGGGATTGTGCGTATGGGAGGGTTGGGGGGGAAGGGGGGGCGGACGGCATAATCGTAGCGCCGGGTCTTTGTACTGTACACAAAATAACTCTGCGCCACAGGACAGCTCAGGTAATAATGCGTCTTGCCACAGTGTTGGTAATTACACTGAAAGAGGGCTGTGGCCTAAATTGTCTAGTTTGTCAAGCCCCCGTAACCCGCTAACACAGTGGTCCCCAACCACCCCAATCGCCGCACCACAGAAAGAATATATATTTGTTCATTTTGAAAATTGACCAGATTCTCTCCTAATTATGTGCGCTCATCCCCCACATATTTCCCAAGCGTTTTTCTTCATGTTTACCGGTCTGTGAGGTAAAAAAGGTTGGGGACCACTGCGCTAACATGTTCTCCAAGCTGCACTCCATGGTTACACAATTTTCCCCGCTGGTACTTCCTGCCTACACTTTGTTAGTTCTCATGTAAACATGTTTGTGTCAGATTTCACGACGACATGCAGGCATCCACAGCATTTCAGACCTCTATGCTAATGGGCTTTCAGACGCGTCCTTCTCAGACAATCATCTCATGCACGGCTGAAGAGGCAATTAGGATGCAAAATTAAACTCTTTATTAATAAAAGTAGCTGTTTACTGTTTTGTAGCCCATCTCAAAGACCCTTGAAAGCAATTACACTAAACTGATGTGTCTCAAGATAGACTGATGAGTCTCAGCTCATTCACTTGGGGCTCTTCTCTCATCTGTTTTGGAGTGCGGCTCCACTGCTTCCTCGCTCTGCTGCCGGTATGAAGGTCAAATGGGATGAAAAAAAAACTTACGTTCATGGGAATGTTCCAGGCCATGTAGACGTGGGATTTGTATTCATCCATCCACACCTCAGCCGCCCTCAGGGCATTGCGCTTAGCGTAATAATCTATGTCATTGTTGTAGGGCTTCTTGGTACGCTCGATGTGAGCCACTCTGGCACATGGGAGCACTTCCATACTTCCTCCGCACTGCCACACCTAGACCGCAGCAGGAAAGAGAGTGCGTGTTTGAGTCACATGTGGATTTGTATAGGGAGGTCTGCTTTTCATACACATATTATACACATTTGTAAAAATGGAGGATGCTTTATTACAACAATCTCGGAGCGGTAGAAATCAAACTCCTCCACAGATTTTGCTTATCAGAAGTGTCACTCACCACTAGTCACTACTCAACTGTCAACTATTGATCAAAAGAAGTGCACTCAGGAATAATGACTTCAATCAGGCTCCAGCTTTTTAACTCAAAATCTACCTTCCTCAATCCGAATGTTAAAAAAAATGGCACTGTTTGTTTTGTTAGCAAGAAACAAACCTACGAGGGTTTGGAAAAAATAATAACCAAATGCAGTACATTAGGAATCTGTAATTAAAGTAATTACACCAGAGTATCTGTAAGTTTTGGGAATGGAGGGCAATTGTGGGTTCATTACAGTTTTGTTCTTACTGTTATAGTTTTGGCCAGTGATCATGATAACATGGTACGTGATGTGATCACAGGAGCACAGCAACAGTGCTACAACAAAGTCACTCGAACCTGGTAAATTATAAACAAGACAAGTTTGTGCAACATTTTCTATATCTTGAAGTCAGACTAAGAGTAGGCAAAGCCCTGCACAGGGTGCGTGCAGCTAAAAATAGTGCAAGTGCTGAAGGTCAGTATTGACTCCAGAGCTCGGTCTGTAAACAGTGATGGATGTTTGTGACCTTTTTAAACAACACATTTCAAGATCTTATCAAGTTACTCAGTGAGTACAATCTAATCATTATAAATGGAAAGGGTGTCCGAAACCACAAAAATGCAAACGCTAAAAGGCTGTTCGACCAAAGATTCCAGAGAAATCCAAACTTTAAACCTCGTTATAGCACGATTCCGATCACCGCTGTCCAGCTGAATGTATTTACGATCCGTACAAAGTTAAATCCCATTTGTGTTATACAGCATCAGATAATAAAAGGAATACATCCTGCTTCAGATAGTAGTGTAATGAATAAGCTTGACATTTTGACCATTCATCATCGCGGTGATGAAATTGAAACCCAGTAGTTAAAGGAGGGAAAAATGACAGGGACGAAAGGTCAAATATGCCCTTTCATTAATGCGTCAGAGGCATCATGTTAATAGATGGATTTGCTGTCATCTTCTTTGTAATGCAGCTAACTGATTAACATATGAGATGTATGCATGACGCACAGAATACTGATACTACATTTTACAGCTCACTATAGATACAAAACCCAATGTTCTTTAAAAACACAGTAATGGGAGCAGAGTGCCATTGTACAACAACCATTAATAGGAAGAAGACAATTGAGATGTTATTTTTTATTTCTCTCTTTAAAATAACACGCATGTGCTTGACCCTGAATCTATATGTAACTGTCCATGTTCAGTTCGTTTGTCTGCTAAAGGGAGTGATGGAGTGGGTGATAAATGGCTCTGAAAGCTTAAGGCCCATAAATACAAGAGCCCTCAGAGGGCTTCCTATGACATGCACAAAACCCTGAAATGAGTGTTGTGCATGTGGCATAAGGACTGTCATACATGAAGCCAGGGGGGGTACACATGTGTCATCTTAAAACCGCATTTATCACAGGAAAATGTGTTGATTGACTGCAGATTTAGGGACGTTGTGACAGTTGTCCAAACTAAAGATTTCATTGTGGTAAAATAGTCATTTCTGAGAGTGGCGGACAAGATCCGAATCGTAAAAGCTCTTTCCAGAAGAACACCCAGCGATATACAGTATGCAAATCTGCAAATCCATGCCGTGCTGTGGGAAAGTGGCCCTGCAGTTCCATCAGGACGCCTCAGCATGTGGTAATGGCCTTGCAGCCAGAGAAACCACGGCAACGCCACCACCGACAGTACCTTGATGATGATCACCACAATGCCCAACAGATGTTATGATCCATTAACATTTCTGTGAACCCAAAATGAGACCCCCTGCATGGTGTTAAGGAGGAGACTACTGTTTTTGCCATCAAGTCCACTCTGGGGGAGAAGAATGTTTTGAGCGGACCATGATATCTATTGTCATGCACATAAGTACAGCTCGTTCTGTTGGGCACGTTCACAATTATCATGTGTGGAGTGATTTATTGTTTTCACATAGTTTGCAAAATCAACAACAAACAAAAGTGAATTGTGTTCCTCGAACAGCTGCCTACTTTATTGAGGAATATTTCTTGCAAATTTATATCTTGTGCTCCAGTGAGTTGGGATTTCTTTTGGCAGCAGGACCGTGTGGGTTTTGACTCAAAATAAACTTCTCTCATGTCTATGCCAAAGAAGAAATGTCATCCCGGGACACAATGTCCTTTAATAAAATATCAAGAAGCTACCTATTTGTAATCACCCAATTGTGAACCATCCTTGGTAACTACATAGCAGATTAGCACTAGATTAAGATAACAAGACAACGTCCACAATTACTAGAAACTACAAGTCGTCCCAAGATATCTTCTAGCTGTTACTGCAGTATTGAACATTGCTGACCACAAGGCAACACAAAGCCCAATCAAGTCCCCAGAATAATATCCAGTGGGAAGGCAACATGCCTGAAATATGCTGCATTCGCGAGACACTATCGAAACATTTACCCAATAACCACTTACCATAACAGACATGCTTCTGTAATGCTTAAGGGTTTTATGAAAGCTTGTGTTTAATTAAATGCTAATAAAGGCTTCCTCCCTCTTTCTTTCTTTTGCACCCTGAAGCACTTAATTCCCCCGGCTGTAGAACGAGTCGAGTCCACTGGGATGACCTGATCTTAAACACCTCCATTGACTGGCTGAGCCCTCATCTCGACTGCCTAGTGATCCACAGTGACCCTGGCCTAAAAAAATCCATTTGTACTTTGGAGCAGGCTTTACCTGCTTTGCTGCCTCCCATGGCAAGTGCTGCCATAGCACAATAGCCTTTATGGTTGATGCATTTATGTGGGTGGAAGTGCTATCCTGACTAAACGGTAAGCCTTTAGTCCCAGGAGATTCACCACAGCACCTTTTGTGTCATAGTAAGCTCTGTGTAAGGCAGTCTTTCTGTGCTTTCCTTATCCATGTGAAATAATTATGTTATGTGTGTTAAGTGGTCGTGTGCACTCGTGGATAATTGAAAATGTGTATATGTGTAACTGCGGCTAGCAGTTTGCCCGCCACTAAAAGCAAATTGAAGATCAATATGTCTCCACCACCATTTCCTGAAGGTCACAAACCTAATAGTTAACTAGGCTTGTAAAACAAGCGTTGGTTTATATGGACCACATTAGGATTCTGTCATTGGACATAAGGAACACAGTGTTTTCACAATAACTAGGGAAAGGATTATGTTCTCTTTCTTCTTCTTTCACGTGGCAGCAGTTCACTGCAAATCTTTAGACAGCCGGGGGGTTGAGGGACGGTTTGGGAGATGGATACTACATTCTTTCCTTTATTCAAGAGTAAACAACCTGTTACAAGACATCTGCAGGGAGTCAACTCTGCCTTTGAGGATCATCAGTGCTGATGTGATATTCTTCATGTGAGAGAATAAAAGATCTGATGATTTGGAGTAAAAACAAGACATCAGATTGGGTTTCCTTGCAGGACTGGTCATGACTCTATCTGACACCCTGTGTCTTCATAACAGGGCTTCAAAGCGTCAGGAAAACAAATCAGACCGAATGGGTGATGTGTTTTTCCTCAGATGTAAAAGACACAGTACTCCAAGCTGAATTCTGCAGTTAGTTGTTTTTCCATTTAATATTCTATTATTATAGAATTATAAGCAAATGAGATTATCTTCTTTTACGTCTTAAGATATCTCACTCATAGGACAGCAGTTCATTAACAGGAAGCACTTAACACTAAGATCTTTGATGTAGGGTAACGTAGTTGCTAATTCAATTGAATTGTCTCTGTACATGCAGTAGGTAATTGCAGCTGGACCATTTGCATGATAAGCTCCACGGGTCCACAAAAAAACACATCAGGCATAAAAAGCAAAAAAGCGATTAACAGCAGTTAACAGGTTTCCATCAGCACAATTACACAATGCAATCAACAAACTGGGAAAAGGCAGCACACGCTTAATAATGAACATTCAGTCATAATTTGGATTTCATGTATTGGCCATGACAAAAAAAACATGTGGCTGAAAAGAAGCTCCAGTAACAGCATTTACATCACGGTCCATGATAACTCCACCCGTAAACTGGATCGTACTCAAAACGAGTAACAATGGGGCACCATCAGCGCGTCATTTGTCAGGGATTGAATTAACCTTCAACCTCCCCATTCACCTTCAAAATGCAATATAATAATACATAACTCAGTACACCCAGCTCATCAATATATGAAAGGCCTTTTCTGAGTGAGTGATCAAAATGGAAAAGAGGTAGAGGAGACGGAGTAACTGTGCAGCTAAGAACCCAGATAGAGAAACGGAATGACGAGGTCATGCAGACTTAATAAAATCCCTCATCTACACAGACAGTTGACATATTTGATAGACAGGGAGGGAAATTACCCTGAAGCAACAAACACAAGCCCCGGAGTTCAGCTCCACTTTCTCCCAATTGGCGAACGGGTTTCTAATTTTGAACAACGCGAGAGAGACACCTTAGCTGGAGGTGTTTTACGATACAGATGCTACTTTCTGCCACGCTGCTTTGTAAATCAACTCCTGAACGAGAGACTGAACGAAACTTTACTTATTCCAGTGATATTTTTTTCAGGAATTAACTAAATAACACATTTCTGAATTGGAGGTGTCAAACTACAAAGTGATATGTTCTGGCAGATCTGCTTTCCTGGGAATAATTAACTCATACGTACAATGTTTTTTCTTGAAACGTCATAAAAATGATTAATTTTGTTCTCTCCATATGGAGCAGTAGATAATTACTACGGTTATTAAATCCCTGTTGGCAGGACTCGGGGCATTTTTATTATAAAACGTATCTCTTTACCTTCAAGCAGCTTCATTTATTCCT